TTATGGTCAGAGGAGACATAGCAAGCTGTCAAAATTAAAGAGAATTTGTTTATTTTTCTGTTTCCTCAGGGGGATTTTTTTCTTTTATAAAACAAATAAAGAGTAAAACATTCCAGCATATTTTTATTATTCTTTATAAGAGCCATACTCATTTTATGTTTCTGATCATTTATGCTGAGTGATTTGTAAATCTTTAGAACTTTCTAGAAATTCTTCATGTATGTAATTTTATTTTTTGGTATGTGTATGTTTAAATTATTACCACTCAGGCTGAACAAAGAAACATAATTTAACATGTAATTTAGCAATTCATTTACTTGTGAAAATTTCCAGTATATTACATAAACTCTATAAAGTGCATATAGAATAGTGGTGAAAAAAGGCATTACTAGACTATTTCTTTCGAATGTAAAAATGTATGTGATATTTCTTTTAAAAGAGATAAATATTTTATTTATATTAGAATTTGGCATGTGTGAGGAAACTCATAACAATAAATGTGTGAATCAGAAAAATATTAAAGACATACTGGGCAGTATGGCTCACTCTTCTTAATTCATAAGCCTGATTAGATTGCAAAGGTACATCTGTCTATAGGAACCAAGATGTTACATATATCTACTTAAGATAACTGAACTGATGTTGTGTCTTGTAGCTGGCTTACTTTATCATTCACTAGGAATAAAATTTTGTCTGTGTTTGTGGAATGTATGATATATTAAATTTAGTTCCTCCCCAAATATTAATTTTGCTATATATTTCTTTTCAAAAGAGAATTTCTGTTTTTGGAGGGGTGGAGGTGAGTAGGGATAAGAAGGTGTAGTGTGTTGAATGGTAGCCTCTAAAAAGGTATGTCCGTGTCCTAACTCTGGAATGTGTGAATGTTTTCTTATTTGGACAAAGGGTGTTTGCAGATGTAATTGAGTTAAGGATTTTGAGATGAGGAGATAGATCATCCTAGATTATCTGGATAGGCCCCAAATCCAGTGATGTGTCCTTATAAGAGACAGAAGAGAGGACAGAGATCCAGAGAGGAGAAGTTGATGTGAGGATAGAGCAGAGGATGCGCTGTGTGCCCAAAGAATGCCAAGGAATGCTCGCTGTCACCAGATGCTAAGAGAGACGTGGAACAGATTCTTCCCTAGAGCCTCTGTAGGGAGCGTGGGTCTACCGACACCTTGATGTTTTTCCTCCTCTGAGAGCATATATTTCTGTTGTTTTAAACTACCCAGTTTGTGATGGTTTGTTACAGCAGCCATAGCAAACTAACGCAGAAGGTTTTTCTGCAGTTTTTCGGAAATGGGACAAAATTAGAAAATACAATTTAAAAACTCTATACCTGGAGTGTAAATAATTATCTGTTGAAGTAAATACAGCACAGTTCAATCTTGGTGTGATTCGTAAAGCACTTCAAGGTCGTTCAGAGCCTCAGGTACTTATTAGGATAAATTTTTATAAAACATGTTATAAAGCCGGAAAAATATCTGAGAGGTTTTTTTTCCTCCTGATACCATCCAGTTCTCCAATTCTCGGACACCAACTGGGTGTCTTACAATTCAATTCAATTCTCACACTAACCACCCTGAGTTAGTGTCGGTCACCACAAGTTTAAGGGCTCAGTCCCTCAGGATGCCCTCACTTCTGACACTAGTCACAAGTTTTGTGTCCCCAGGTTACTTGCACTTCTATCCAACTTGGCTACAAAGTTGGAGTTCCAACAGCCGCCCTCTTCAGATTCGATAATTGCTAGAATGGCTCACAGAACTCAGAAAGGTCCTTTACTGATTTAAATTTGCCAGTTTATTATAAAAGACACAAATGAACAGCCTGATGGAGAGGCATATAGGGCGGCCATGTCTGGAAGGGTCCTCAACACAGGAGTCTCTGTCCCCATGGAGTTGTATGCCACCCTCCTGGCACATGGATGTGTTTGCCAGCTAAGAAACTCTCTGAACCCCATTGTTTAGGGTTTTTTTTATGGCGGTTTCATTAGGTAGGCATGATCGATTAAATCATTGGCCATTGATAATTAACTCAATCTCCAGCCCCTCCCTCCTCCCTGGAGGTTCAGGGAGTGGTGCTGAAAGTTCTAGTCTTCTAGTCAAGGCTTGGCATCTCTGGCGACCAGCCCCGATCCTGAAGCTATCTAGGGTCCCGCCAAGAATCACCTCATTTGAAGGAAAGAGGTTTCTATCACCCTTATGATTCAGGAAATTCCAAGGGTTTTAGAAGCTCTGTGCCAGGAACAGAAGACAAAGACCAAATGTCTTTCTATGGGACCACAGTATCAGATTAAGTTTTTTGAATGTTTGAATAAATTATATTTGCTGTGCATTTTTAAGTAATTGAGACTTTTGAGACTCATAAATAAAATATTAAAATCTTTGAAACTGTGTTAAGTAAAAGGTATACACAATCCTGCAGAAATGAAGTGATCTTGTGAATAACCAACAATGTTTAAGTGTTAAAGAAACAGTTACTTTCAGAAGGAAATGTTTTTCCTTGCATACCCTACCCATTTACAATTACTTTTTGTCATTGGAACTGCATATAATACCTTCTGAGAGCAAACTTTCCCCTTCTATTTTTTAGGAAGATATTTAAAATTATGATGATCATTTATACAGTTTTAGAAAATAGTCATTAAATCTTTTGACCTGCAAAAATTCTAATGATCTATATATTTTGTGGTGCTTTTATTCCACAAGAAACATTGTTACCTTCCCTGTATCTCGTTTTCTCCTGAGGTCATTATATTAATGCACCAAGGCTGTGTTTAAACAGTAAGGAGATATTTTGGTATGAAATTAAGTGGGGCTATAACAGAGATGAATGCTCTATCCTGGGGACCTAGAAAGAAATAGGTACACCACTATAAATATTTGTTTAATAAGTGATAAATCACGTGAACCATAAATAGAATGTAAAACAAATGGGATTTTGCCACTATCTGAATAGTCTGAGTCCAAGTATTTTTTGCATAAATTATTTAGAGATCTCCATCTGATTAATTATAATCAATATATAGGTAATGTTGCAGCAAGGATAATTTTTCTTCTATTTCCAATAATTTTATGATTTTATACTTTTGCAGAACAAAGAGCTATTTCACATTTTATATACCCGGATATTCGGATAGTTTTGTGGAGAGTTTCTGACAATTACAATTGTTTTTACTCCGAGAAGTTGTGTCTTGGGGAGTCGGGTTCTACCTGCCCTGGTTATAGGCTTATCATTAATACCACGTTACTTTGTTTCTAAGATGTACGTTTTCTTCCCTTTTGAACAAATGGGACGCATATTGCAGTCATATGTATATATTTGATGTAGTGTTTCTGACTTCTTTGCCCACCCGCCATTGCAATTATTAAATAGATGGTGCCCGTTAGAATGAAGGGCATCTGAGAACAGAAGAATGATCTACTGACTTCCTTTTGGAAGGTGACACCAGGCCTCTGTCTTGGTCCTGCTGGGATGTTGGATGGTGAACCCAGCGGGGAAGAAGCCCTGAGGGTGTGTGGAGTCTGGAGTAACTGAGGTGAAGGGGACGGAGGGTTCCTGGCGGCTCATTAAAATAAGTACTGATTAGACAACATGTTGGCATTCAGAAACTAATTTCACTCACATTATTGTGCTTTGTCTTCTTAGCTGCCTGTAAGGGCCCAGCATGTCTTCACGTATTAGAAACTGAAGCAAAGCAATTTAGTGACTGTTAGACAAATATGGGAGCCAGGACTTTGCTTGGGTCTTCTGCCTTCCAATTCCATGGTGTTCTTTCCCTGCCACCATGCTGCCATCCCTGAGAGGGAGTAGAGATGGCTTCTGTTCACTCTCCTCTCCCTGTGGATTATTCTAGATGGGTCTTCATCTCTAAATGCTGAGGACTTATGGTCTGCATTATGATCTCCTCTTTCCTCTCCTTGTAAGACTTCCAGAATCAACGTTTCTCACACCCTCGCTCCCCTCTCCCCTAATCACAACAAAACCCAAAACATTCCCTATCTTTTTCCATGAAAATGAAAATAAGAGAATCAGGGTATTATTTTCTTTCCAGACTTTCTTCCAAATTCTCATGCTTATTTAGACTCTGAAATAAAATGTTTGTTTTCATGGGTTTTTGGTGGCACTAATCCTTTGTTTATTTTTTCCTATCAAAACACTGCACTATTGGCAGTTTTTCATATAAGATTTTTTTTTTTAATTTTAGGATTTTTTTGCTTTTATGATCCAGATTCCAAAGCAGTTTTTATTTATATAATTTAAGTGGTAGTTGTGGCACACAAATGTTGCTCTTCCCTGAAGAAAGAAGCTAAGTTTGTTACAAAGTTTGGGTTTGGTCAAAGCCTTAAGGAATTTTGTTGAGACACAGTCTTGATTATCTTTATGCTCTGCTTTGAATTTGCGGTATTACAGATCCTAAATTAACATCCCTGGGGTAGAATTCTTGCAACTTTGGCAATAACTTTTCCTGCTGACTTATTTGCTGACTTTGTAGCACATCTTTCTTTATTTTCACATCTCTGTGACTCCTGCAGAAGTTATTTTAATTTCCATTTCACAGACATGGAAGTTGAGATATTAAGGTAAATGTGACTGCTAATAATAACAACTTGGCTATTTTTATATACCAGACTTTGTGCTAAGTGTTTATGTCAACTTTTAAAAAATCTTTACAATAACCTTTGAGAAAGGTACTCTTATTGTCCTCATTTGACACAAGAGGGAAGTGAGGCTTTAAGAGGTTAAAGGAACTGCTTTCAGAACCAGCACCTTATAATTTATAGGAATTGTTAAAAATGGGCAGAATAAATTCTAAACTTAAGGTTTGAATTTTATGATTTTCTGGCTCTTCTTTTTCTTTTTTAGAAATGATCTTTTAAAAAACCATATTCTCAACTTGTCTCTCCTAGAATATTATTTCAGTTGGGTATTGGGTTTAAGATTTTTGTAGCAATACATCACACTAATGCAAACCTATCTCTTTTTGTTTTGTCCTGTAGGCCCTACAGGAGCAGCTAAAGATGCGTAAGTACTTAATATTATGATTTTCTAAGCTCTTTCTGAGGAAGACACTGTTTTTCATGATTATGATCTTTAGATATATGTAGGTGTGGCTGAAAAGACATGGAAGTACTTTCTGTGCTCTGCACAAATCAAGATTACCATTTGGTTTATAACTAAAGTGCTATTTGAAGAATGTTATTGTTTGTGACTTTGCATGTTAGCCTTTCAGTTCCCCTGTAACTCAGAAGTTTAAGAAAGGGAAATGTTCGTGTTTCCGTCCCAACTTGTGTGGAGATTTCTGCTAGTTAAAGGCAAATGCTTATGGGAGAATTAAGCATATAACTCCTATGAGTAGTCAGTGTCTTAGAGTTAGCCAGTGGGGAGAGGCTGGAGCCAAGAATTTACCAAATGCACAGTGAATTGTTTCACAGTTAACTAGATACTTGAGTAAATGTATATTACCATTCAATGTAGTCAGTATTGAGTTGATCTTTAGACCATAGGACATTTAATAAGGGGCATCTCTCTGTGAGAGGTTTCTGGAGCTCAGGAACCCTTTCAGTATTTCCGCATGCCCTTCTCTGCATCTTCCTACCTCCAATCTAGGGATAGTAAGCACACTGCAGTAATTCACTTTTTAAGACTGTTTGTGGTTACCCTGTGGAGGGTGGGATCAACCCTCACCCCACCCACCCAAATCGGTTTAAATATCAAGATGATGATGCCAGGCACAACCCCAGAGGGTGTGAAAAGATTTATTACTCACATAATGAGGCTTTCTGGGAGAGCAGGGTGGGCTCTCCAAGCTGGTCCATTCAGCTTGAGTGAAGGAAGGGCTGAGTGGCTCTGGTTTTATTGTAGTTTGGGAGTGGGGCTTCGGTGAGGGCTCCTGTGCAGGGGCAGAGGTCTGCACAGTTTGATCTTCTGCACCAGCACAAAGGAAGGAGTTCCTGGGCCTTATCAGCTTGCACAGATGTGGGGCAAAAGCGGGAGTGGTGGAACTTGAAAGATATCAGAGTCAGACATCAAATAAAAGTCAGACTTTTTATATTCCAAAGAGGAGTTCAGAGATGATTAGAACGGGGTTGTCGTTTGAGGGGGAATTAAATATGCCCTATAACTAAAAAAATGTAATTTTATCAAATAAATGATCCTTTAAAAAATAAACATAGTAAATTTAATTGGAAAAATTTAAGAATATTATAATATTACTTTTCCTTGCACAAAAAGTATATTTGAACACCTTCTTTTTTTTTTTTTTTTCAAGTACAAGGTAGAGATTTAAAAATCTTGACTATAACATTTGGTGATGCCATGAATGAATGAGGAGCTAAGAAATTAAGACAATTTAAACTTTTTATTGTGAAGATTAAAATTTTTTTTCCTAAAGAGACTCATTTAAAACCGAAAGAAGTGGCCAAAATCACATACTGGTTGCTAAGAGGACAGAACTTCATATAGGGCAACCACCATATCATACAGACCACATAAAAGTCGTTTCGGGGAATTGCAGTTATTTTTAGAAGTGAGAAATACCATAATTACTCCCTTAATATATAATAAAAAAATCAGTTCTCTAAGGAAGGTCTGCAATTTTTACTATATCTCTCCTACTTATCTACCTGTTTTCTCTAGGCAAGAAGCCAGGATATAATAACAAATAAAATGATATTTCTGCACTTAAGTAGGTGATTGTCTATTGGGGATCAAAATACAGTGTGATCAGTGCTAGTTATTAAAATAGTCAGAATTTAGTGCCAGTCTGGGGTTTGAAGGGTGCACAAGAGTTTGTGCAGGAAGGGGAGGAATGGCAACCCAGGGCAGAGGAAACAGCCTGAAAAGAGGCACACAGGGGCAGGGGAGTCTTAGCTCTTCTGGGGAGAGCCAGCCAGTTTGCCCTGGAGCCTGTGGTGCAGGCTCGGCAGAGGTGAAAGATGAGGCTGGTAGGCTGCAGCCGGCTTGTGAAGAACTGTGCCAGGCCAGTAACTGTACTGGATTTGTATGTGTTCAAGAGCTGTTAGACATTTAAAGGTAGGGGAATTAAATGATTATGTTTGAGCTTTAGGGCAATGACTCCCACAGGAGTGCGGTACATGAGATAGGGGAAGGATGGAGGCACAGAGGCATCAAGACAGTGAGGCCACAGGAGGGCCAGACCGCAGACAGTAGCAGTGGGAAAGGAGAAGAGGTGATGTGTTCAAGGTAGGTTTGGAAATGTAATTGATAAGCTTTGTTGAATGACTGAATGGAGAAGGAAAGGAAAGGAAGTCTGAGGATAACGCTGCGGTTTCAAACTTGAGTCAAGGGCAGGGATGGCTGATAATCCACAGAGGTCAAATGAGCCAAAGGGAGAAGAGAAGCCAGTGGATGTGGCGTGATGGCTGCACCCGTCACCTGGGGGACTGTGGCTTCAGTTGAGTCGTGTAATGATTGAGTCAAAGTGGAAGTGAGCGAGGGGCGAGGAAGTGATGCGTGGCCTTGCGTTTTACAATGTATGATAAGAGATGGAAAGATGTTGGTAGCTTAAAGAGGAAGCATATTTAAAAATATATATTTCTGTTATAAAAGGAGTTAAGGAAATTAGGAAAGTACAGAAAAGCAATTTTTTAAAAAAGAGAAAAAATCAGCTGTTATCCTACCGCCAGAGACAACTGTCATTAACATTTTGCACTATTTTCTTCCATGTTTTTGTGATTATTTCTGCCTGATTGTGTGTATGGATGATTTTGTATATTGAAGTCTGTTTCTTTTTCTATTTATTTTTCGTGTGGGGGTGATGTAGGTGTACCTTTAGGATAAATTGTAGGATCTGGGAGAGTAAAAAAAGTTGAAGTGATTTGGAGAGGGTTATCTATGGTGAGGGAGAGAATAATTGATGGAAATAGAGCCTAAAACAGGCGAGAAGGATTAAAAATTTAGAAGGTTAACCTTAGAAACTTGAGATAAGGAGAACAGCACAGGTGAAGATATATAGAAATTTAATCACCATAAGATAGACTCACAAGCATATGAGGGAGTGAGCCTTTCTTTTTCTCTCTCTCTCTCTTTTCAAAGTTCAATCACAGTGCAGCGACATGCATAACAAAAGAGAAGTGAATTCAGCGTGATGACATTTGGCTGCTTCCACAAACCTGCAAAAATCAACCATGCTCTTGTGTTATTTCAGCGAATTATCTTAGCTATTTGGCACAAAGAGGTTGCGTTGGGATATTTTTGGTTGGAAATGGCAGAAGCCCAGCTTAAACTGACCTAAACAAGCAAACAAAAAGGAATTCATTGGCTCGTGTAACGGAAAAGCTCCAGGGGTTTGGCCCTAGTCACAGCTGGATCCAGGTGACGCGATGACAGGAAGAAGCTCTCAAATCTCTGCTTTCCTGTTTTGGGCTTCATTCTTAGGCAGCTTTCTGTAAGTGGTGACAGAGATGGCCAGTTATATATCTTATATCTTAGCTTAATAATTCCTGTGGAAAAAGAGCTTCTCTTTCCCTGTAGTTTGATCAAAAGCCCTAGGGCCAGGCCCTCCGTGGCCAGGAAATGGGATCATGTGGCTCTCTCTGAAATCAGTCAGTGGGTCAGGGGAACGTGGGCTTCTCATTGGCCAGGCCCAGGTCATATGCCCCCCGCTGGAGCCAATCTGTCATTAGTCCCACCTAGCCGTAGGGCCCAAGAGTGGGAGAGTGGTGGTTCTCACAGCAAAGAAAAATTGGGATGCTGTTACTAAAATGGGGAGTAGTTATAACTGGGCAGGCAGAAAAAAAACATGTTCTCCATGTAGGTCAATTTTCATGTTATTTCAAAAAAAATCTCTTGATTTAAATTTCAGGCAATATTTATACGGATATTATAAATATGTTTCAAATAAGAAACAGTATTAAACAAGTTGACTCAAATTTAATGTTTGCTGTTGAAAATAAAAGGTCATAGCCACTCGATTTAAACAAGATAAATCAAATATTTCTTTCACCTAAAACTTGTAAAGTGACGTTTCATTAAGATTTCTTTCTTGACAAAGCAATTTTGATGTTATGGAAGGTAGCAACTATAGAGAAAAATATCTTGTAATGAGTTGACATAAAACGTGTTTTATGAAGCTCTGACTTGTATAAAAAATGAAATTGTGAATTTCTAATCTTGAGTTGCCTTGGAATCCTTTATAAATTTCCTGTGTCTACTGCACCTGTGTCAGCTGAGCCCTCCCTGCTCCTAGTTACAAACCCGAGTGTATCTGATGGACTCATTTCTCCTCTGCGAAGTAGCAGGCAGGGGTGAGGAGGACGGAGTGGAAGTAGCATTGAAAAAACATGCATTTTGGACGCAGAGAGACCTGCATTTAAACTTCCCGCTACCATTTAGTAACTGTGTGATTTCGTGTTCTCAGTTTTCTTAACTGTAAAATTGGGATAATCGAAACTGTGCAGGTAACCATCTTCATCATTATCATCATTGTTCTCAATTAGTAGCTCATCTTTATTGAGGACTGTATGCCATTTAGTGATTTCCGGTACTTTAAGTACGTTATCCCATTCTGTATCCATGACAATCTGATGGAGACAGTAATGCTGTTTTATTTTACAAATGAGGAGATGGGGCACAGAGAGACTAAGTCACTGCTCAGGATTATGAGGGTTATTGGTACAGTATATTCAGTATCCTAGGATAATACTTGGCATTATGCCCTGCTGCCCCCCTGTAAATGGTAGCTAGAATTAATAGGTGGCTTAAGTGTTGTTGAAAAGATTTGGCAGAGCCTCGCTCATGAATACCTGATGGCAGAAGACCCAGCGCATTGAGGGCCTGGCCGTGGTTAGAAATCACACAGTCCTGTTGGTTGCCCATCAATACACAATTAGATTTTCCTTAGGTCAGACCCAGGGGAATAGGAGCAGGAAGAGAGAAAGCAGATGAGTGGGTTCATCCGGAGATGGAGAGGGATGGTTGGTGACCAGCAAGTGTTGCTGAAATGCTTGACTGCAAGGCACGTGCTCGAGAGAGGAGGAAGGGAAGCCCTAAGGGGCTCATGA